AGCATAAAGCGAAAGGCTAAGAAAGCAGAATAACCCATAAACAAAAGGAAATCGAAGCAGGAAATGAAGGCAAAAAATTTGACGGACATAAAACACTAACGTAAAGGGTTTCTCGTTGAAGCTTCACTGAACCAAAATCAACACAAAGGGTAAGAAGGCCAAACGAAAAGACCAAGAAAAAAAGGAGAGAAGAAGAAGACGAAAAACATATTAAGAACAAAAGAAGCCTAGAAACATTTACTGGAAAAAAACCATAAAGGCCGAATAACCCCTAAACAAAAGCAAGAAGCAGGAAATCAAAGGGGACAAAGCATTTTTAGAACAAATGAAACCCAGAACATTCACGAAAAGAAAAAAGGAGCTGGGGTAATACGCGTGAGAAAAGCTGCAGACAGAGAGAGGAAAAGGAGGAAAAACATTTTCAGAGCAAATGAAAAGAACTCTTTGCCAAGACATGCCAGGTGAACGACAAACGGAGAAAAGATAAGACCCGAAACTTCTCTTCTATCAAACTTACGAAAACGGTCAAATAAAGCACAAATGAATGAGGAAAAAACTAATGGCAAAAAGGAAAATTCACACAACGTAACCAAAAAAGCAACTGAGAAGACTGAGAGGATAAGACAAAAATACTCAAACAAAAACCAAAGCAAAAATAAGCAACTAAGGATAAAACGGTAAAGATACAAATTTAGGACACAACCAAAATTTTTCTAAAGAATAGAGAGAAGAAGGATCGGGCACTATTCTAAGAATAGTAATCTGGGTGCCTCTTTAATAGTATGTATAATATGTACATTAAATGCATTTCACTTCTGAAAGGCTTGCTTCATAAAGAAAAGGACAAATTCGAATATGATTGCTGTTAATTATGCCTATTTTGTATTTTCCATTCTAATCTTAAAAATGTCAAGAATCGTCCATTTACATTTTAAAATGTTTTGGAATTTAGTGGGAAGATATTTCTGGGAAGAAAAAGAGCGCAAAGGGGAAAAAAAAAAAATTAGAAAAACGTCCCTTTCGAATTAGGTTTCGTATTTGGGAAAAACAAATGCAATTTTCTTGACGAACCCACGGCATGCATGGTGACACGAAGCTTCAAGATGTGCTTCTCACGCCACCGAAATATTATTGTAACACGATCACTCTAAAGTTTTTTTATTATTTTATTATTTTTATTATTCGATGAAACAGAATATAGAATTTTTCAATTAAAAAAAAAACAGTAAATTAAAAGAGATATAGTAGCATCTTACACCAATAAAGGCAGTGCCTCTAGTTGGGACATATATATAACGATCCCAAAAGTAAGAAGTTTTTATTTATTTTCTTTTTTCTTCCTTTAATATTCTTCTTTTTACCTCTAAACAGATAAGTTTAGCCGGCGATACACCAAATAAATAATTAGTTTAGGCAGAAAATTTTGCCTGAATTTTTTTTTTTTTTTGGGTCACATAGGGATAATACGGAACAAATATGCATGGGAATTGGGATTACGCAAATTCTATCTCCACTCGTTGAGAGAGAGAGAGAGAGAGAAAGATCAAAAGATGCATGTGATCAGGGAATTGAATTTAACTCGTAGAATAATAGTTTGTGTTGGGGATAAAAAGAACGGGAATCTAGTTCATGTTTGATGGGACTGAGAGAATTAGTGTGTTTGGTCTATGGTCCTAATTTGGAATAATAGGATCATGTCATGTCAATAAAAAAAAAAACAAAAAAACAAAACAAAGTCACATATTTATACATGATCTTTATCATATGCATGATCTTTTAATACTCGTTAGTTTCTTGTTAAGAGTTTGGCTAATCTTTTGATGGAAATGGACAATTGAGATTAAATGTGGAGAATGGTTTGATTCAATATTGTAGAATTAGAAAAAGTCAAACTTTGAGAGACATTAGATGCGTTTGAGAGACTATGATCGGTAATAATTAACAAAGATTCAGAAACTTATAAGTCCGTTTAGTTCGCTGGTTTAAATTTTTAATTCGAGTTGAGATATGATTTTATGTGAGAGCTTTTTACTGTAGTAAAAAATTTAGATATGACTGTTTCTGAGAGCTTTTTACTGTAGCAAAACTCAAATTCTAAACTCGAATCAGTGAAATAAACGGAACAATAGTTAAAAACTTCAAATAGTTGTAGGCTTTTAGATCAAACTTATACTTGAGAAAGATGTTAATTTATAATAATATTGTCATATATATTGGGTATAAGATATAGCCTACATATATAGCAACATATTAACTACAACACAACATGTATACCATCAAATGGATCCAAAATTCTTTTTAATAAGAAAGATTACGAATATTGTAACTAAGCTTGATAATTATTCCCATAATATAATTATCAAAAAAACTAGCTTGATAACATAGAAATATAATATAAGTTTGTGATAAACATGAGATAAGAAAAATAAAGATTTTATTAATAAAATTGACAAATAATTCCGGTGAGTTGTGATCACAAGTTTAAAGGTTTTGTAGGAAAAACAATTTTCCTCCCGAAACCATCTAGGAGAGTTCATGACTGGAGGGGCAAAGAAAGATTAAATATTATTGATGGTCAATTAACGCAATTATATTTTCCCAAGTTTATATATGCAGTATGCCTAAATTCTTCCTTTATTACACTTCCATAACTTTTCACAATAAAACATAAAAAAAGAGACAAATACCTATTTAAATAGTATTCTTTTAACGTTTACTCCATAAATACTAACCCATTTATTTGTAGTCATATAATTATATTAGTTAAAAGGGTATCAATAAGAACAAATAAGAGATAAAATTCTAAATCTATTGCAGCAATTTTCTCACACAAAATTCTTTTCATTTTCTGCCCACGGTTTAAAGAGGAGAAAAAGGATGAAAGAATTGGATTTAATGTAGAAGCTACCGGACAGCTAAATCCCCGTTGGCTGACCACCGACTTAGTGTCTTAGAGCCCGTTTGGTTCATGGATTAGAATCATGAGATTAGAATCATTTTTTATTTACGTACATTTTTTGTGTGAAAAAATACTGTAACGAACTATGAACTATGATTCGAATCAGAGAACGAATCCTCCAACCAAACGGGCTCTTAGCTTTTCTTCATCACATTTGCTAATTAACGATTACTTTTCACATCTCATGACCAGCATAACCGTTGAATAAATTGATAAAATCTTATTCGTCTATCGTATATAAGATTGGGTTTTTAACATATTTTCAGGATTGTTAATTTTTATATGCACGCATATAAAAATTAACACTAGAAGCAAGTGTTCACATTTGCATCGTACTATCACAACTACAAGGGAATTTTTTCCCTGAAAAATACTTCATAGAAATTATTTATACTCTTTCATCTTTGTTTTCGAAAGAAATAAAATATTCACGCTTACATTATATGTCAAACTTCATATATACTTTTTTCTTAAAATAAAGGTCATAATTTTCATTCAATCAGACCGAATATTACTATAGTTATGATAAGAAACACTGAGATTAATATAATAAAATATTTGTAATGATAAGCAAAAGTACAAAGCCATTATTTCGGGTAAAGAACAAAGAGGAATTTATCGCGCACCTTATTTGAATTGGTGCGTACATATCTCTGAAAAGAAAAGAACATTGAGCTCCACGGGAAATAAATCTTTATCTCTTTCAAAACGTCTTTTAATTGTACTCGATAGATGAGAAAATAAAAATAATAAATAAAAATAATAAAAAATTATTTTTTATTTTTTTTCATATTTTACACTAAATTAAAAAATTATTTTTATTTTTATTTTTTATTTTTAATTGTGTTAAATATCGTTTCTCTTTTGTTTTTATTTTTATTTTTTTGAAAAATGTAAAAAATAAAAACAAAACAAACTCAAAACATTTTTAGAAGCTACAAATATGATAAAAAATACAAAATCATAGAAATGCTTAAAAAATGCGAAATTAGTACTAGATCGAATTTGAGTGGAGAAAACTCATCAACACTGCAAATCAAGATCTAAGTAGACACCTATCTTTATTAGAAATATAAAAAGTAAAACTACAAATGTACATAAATAAAAAAGGGATCGAATCTCCCTCTTTAAGAGGAAGAACGCCGCAATTTGAAATGAAAAGTATAGAAAGAGGAAAAAAAAAAAGATAACCTACGGTCCGGTCCACCTTAAGAGGACAAACGCCGTAGCTTGAAATATAAAGTATAAAGAGGACGAAAAAAGAAAGATAACCTAGGGCCGGCGGGATGCCACAAAAGGTGGACCCCAGTTATAGTAATTACAAAAGTTTATATATAATTAAACTATTTAACAAATTTTAACAAATTATGCGAAAGAAAAAAGTTAATGAATCTTGATGGAGTGATGATACAGTAAAAAGGTCAAGTATAGTAATAATGCCAACTATTTACATTTTACTTATCCATGTTATATTAAATAATTTAATAAATGAATTTTATCTTTTATTGGGAAATATAATTTTTTATAACAGATTAGCAAGTTGAGAAATGTGAACTCAGTTATTTACTATATAAAATTTGATAAACAACGTAAGAATTTTGCCATTATACAAAATTCAATTCATTTCATAAAAAATTCAGAAAGTAAAAACGACTATTTTTTTTATTGGAACCAATTTTCTTTCGGGAAATAAACAGATTTGGTGGAATATTATTTAAAATCTAAACTCTTCAAGTATATGAATTGATTGCCCATTAATACATAAATATAATCATAGATTATTCTTTTGTACCCATCATAAGATTCTTCCTTGCAGAAAAGAAATCATATACCAATATTTAGATAAGATATTATACGCAAGGTATAGGAAAAGAAAAGTAGAAAAATCTTCCTTAATTTTTTTCCCCTCTATTATTTGGAAAAGGGCGACAAATCTCTCAAAAAAAAAAAAAAAAAAAAGGAAAACAAGGAAAAAGGTAAAAAGACTAAAATGGGCGTGGGGGCGATGGGTTATAAAAAGTGGTGGAAAAAAATCACGGGTGGCCGATGAATTGTGTCGTTTTTTGTCACCTTTCAAACGAGAAAAGTAAGAAAAACAAGATTAATCAAGATTTTCAACCCACCACCCTTCTACTTTTCTTCCTCTTCTTTCCTCGTCCCCTTCAACACCAATTCCTAACCTTCTCTCTCTCTCTCCTCTCTCTTTCTCTCTCCTCCGTGCAATTCTCATTGCACTACCGGTGCTCTCATCTTCATCATTAAAATGGCGAAGAATCCCACATCAGGTATATATGTCACCGTTTCTTTAAGCTCTTTCACTGTTTATTGTATATACATGCATAAGCTTTTTCCCTTCTCGGTAGATTCTGGCGAGATTCCGAATCTTTTTGCCACGAGTTTTTACGAAATTTGGCATCTGGGTTCTAGCTGGTTTTCGAGATAAAGATCTTTGCTTTCTTCTTTCTTCTTTTTATTGTTAAATTCATATATATATATATATATATATATAGGAATTGTTCTTCCCAGGCCTTTTCCATATTGTTTGTTGGATCATTTTCTTTTGCAATAGACCTTTCTTATTCGTTTCTATGGTATCTGAATATTTTGAGTTTATTTCGATTTCACAATCACAAGTACAACACTGGCTTATGAATCTATATATATACAAGAATTCGTGTTTGATATATGTGATTGTTCTTATCCGCTTTTTGGAAAGTGATTTTGAATCTTATTTTGTCGTAAAAGCGTTTGTTCTACATGGGTTCACTATATGGAGTAACCTTTACTGGTCTAATTACTCGAACAGTTTTTTAGGCTTATTAACAAAATTTGTAAAATCTTAGTACAAATTTTATGTTTGGAAAGCTACCGAATATGGTAATGATGAATGGGCTTCTCTTTTACATTTGATTTTATAAATATGTCACTTTGGAAATATCGGATGTCAACACAAATCTGTTGGTCTTCTGGCAAAAAATGGATTCTTGGGCCCCCATGGTGGCCACCTGCCAGTTACCCAAAACAGGACAAGCAAAATTTGCATAATGTTTACTCCTTGTGCAGTTCATTATCAGTAGGGAAAGGAAATCACTTTTGTTTGTTTTTGTTTATTCTTTTCTCAGATACAAATAGAGTTTCAGAAAGGAACAATTCACTGGTTGTTTGCTTTGGGGAAATGTTGATTGATTTTGTCCCAACTGTTGCTGGAGTGTCGCTTGCTGAAGCTCCTGCTTTCAAGAAAGCTCCAGGTGGTGCTCCTGCTAATGTGGCTGTTGGCGTCTCAAGACTTGGTGGCTCATCAGCTTTTATAGGCAAGGTAAAATATAATATTTTGCCTTTTTTTTTTTGTTGAACGGTAATATTAGATTAGATGTGTTTTTGCCACACATACTTTTCTAGTCCATATGTGCCTGCAAATCTATGTGGCAGAAAACTTTATATTAACTTTTTAGTTGCAAAAATGCGTAGATATTTGATTTCAATATATAAGATGATTCACCCTCTACTCTATTGAAAATAAAGGGATAAATTTAAGTATTGTATGTTTTCAGAATATGTGAAATTAGTTCCGTTATCGGTGTGTTTAGTTGTCCTGGTTTACTCGGTTACACCTCCTTTCGCCTAAATTGTACAGTGCAAAAAATATGTATGTGATTATGTGATAGGGAGAAGCATACCCGTTTCCTGATCAAATAGCTTTCTGTTAGCATGTTATGCTTTACATTGCGTAATCTCAAGTTCTCCGCTTTATGCATCATAGGTGGGCGACGATGAATTTGGGCGCATGTTATCTAACATTTTGAAAGAAAACAATGTAAACAATTCTGGTGTGCGATTTGACCAAACTGCAAGAACTGCATTGGCATTTGTTACACTCAGAGCTGATGGTGAGCGTGAGTTTTTATTTTTCCGAAATCCAAGTGCTGATATGCTTCTCCGCGAAGCAGAACTGGATATTGCTCTTATTAAACAGGTGTGTGCATTTTTTCTACTTTAACCGGTAAACATCAAAGGAAAGATGGTTTTGCTATAATACTCCATTTGGTTGACATTATGCCTGCACAACTGAAATTCATTGCAGGCAAAGATCTTCCACTATGGTTCAATTAGTTTGATTGAGGAACCAAGCAGATCGGCGCATCTTGCTGCAATGGGCATTGCCAAAAAGAATGGTTGCTTCCTCTCTTATGATCCAAACTTAAGATTGCCATTGTGGCCCTCACACGAGGCTGCTCTGAAGGGCATAATGAGTATCTGGGATCAGGCTGATTTAATTAAGGTACCATATCTGAAAATGTAATGTTCGTACAATTGGAAATTATTTGCCGATTTCTATATCATTATAAAACCATCATGCACACACACACAACTCGATTGTACCTGTTGTCTAAAACAGCTGGATTCTCATACAAAATTTGCAGATAAGTGAGGATGAAATCACATTCCTCACTGGTGGTGATGATCCCTATGATGATAATGCGGTGTTAACCAAGCTTTTTCATCCAAATCTTAAGCTTTTGATTGTGACTGAAGGGTCAGCAGGTTGCAGATATTACACTAAGGTAATTTTATCAATTTAGTTTCTTATGTATAATCATTACTCTGTCTGTTACCTTTCCAGAAACAGAATTGTCTCCATCACGTTGCCGCTTGTTGGTGTATAACAATTTCCTAAATTTCTTTGCTAAACTAACATCAATGCATTTGTCATATAGCAGTTAAGGTTAACATATCTATCAGTTAGAACATTTAAATTTGATGCTAACCAAAATTATGTACAGGAGTTCAAGGGCCGGGTCCATGGCGTTACAGTTAAACCCATTGACACAACAGGAGCAGGCGATGCATTTGTGAGTGGGATACTGTACAGCCTAGCTTCTGACCTAAATCTATTTCAGGTCCAACCTCCCATCTTAATTTTATTTTTGCCCTTTTAACTTCCATTTCCTTATTTTGATATCATCGGGTTGTTATCAAGTGTTACTTGAATCTTTGTGGTTTACCGTTTACTTTATGCCTTGCTCCTGAGAAAATAACTCAGAAGCATGCCCTGTCATAGAGTCGATTCTTGATCTTGTGGTCAATAAGTTATTAAAACTAGCTAGCGCTCTCAAATTTGGTTGCCTTGATAGAAATTGGGATGTTATGATACATAAGTGCATCATATTTCCGTTTCTTTAACCCAGGTTATGAACATTCTTTGATCAATCTCCATAAACTGTGTTTTGGCAGGACGAAAAGTGTCTACGAGAAGCTCTATCATTCGCCAATGCCTGCGGTGCAATCACGGTAACAGAAAGAGGAGCCATCCCTGCATTGCCCACAAAAGATACTGTGATCCAATTCTTACAAAAAGTTGCTGCTTGATGAAGTAAAGGCAGACACAGCAGTCTAAAATACTTGTATTTTTTTTTTCCCCCTTGTACCAAAGTCCAAAAACTATGTAATCCGACTTTCCTTTAACGAGAGCAATCAATTTAGCGTTTGCTCCTTGTGTTCTTCTGCTGTTCACCCGTTATAAAAAGTTTCCATTTTGCGCTGCAATGCATGTTCTGTTCTTTCTTTTCTCCCTTTTTTTTTTTTTTCAACACTTGCACCTTGAAACTGATTTTTCCATATTTTTTTTATTGCATTTTTCATGTTAGTTGGGGATATAAAATAAAACTTAATAAATTTCAGTCTCTTTAGTTGTAGTCAATTATGCAACTTTTATTTTTAATAATGGAGCCTCCAATGAGTGGTCCAGCAATAATAATGGCTGGTAAATGTGGAAAAGAACGTCAGTGAGAATATGATCTTTTGGAAAGTTGTTACATATTTACAGGTTTCGGCCCCGTTTATTTCGTTAATTCGAGTTTAGAATTCGAGTTTTGTTACAGTAAAAAGCTCTCACAAACAATCACATCTAACTTTTTTACTACAGTAAAAAGCTCTCACATAAAATCACATCTCAACTCGAATTAAAAACTCGAATCAGCGAACTAAACGGGCCCTTCGTTTTTTTTATTAGTTCGAATCATAACTCAATTTTTTATTATAATTTTTTCATTTATAAAATTTAAATTCAACTTTTTTTCCTACAATATTTTCTCTTATATAAATTTACTTTTTTACTTAAATTTATTTGAGTACACGATTAAAATGTACGAGTATATATGCCTAGTAGATTATGCATGATAACGCCTTAAAAGAAAAAAAAAAAAAATATATATATAAAACAAAATGATAAATTTTAAAAATGCAAAACCGAGCACGTTTAAATACTGATTTTACGTAGTGCATTGCCCTCATTGTAAGGTTGTAAAATAATAATCTTAATAAAAAGAAAAAAAGAGAGAAATAAGGAAAAAAAAAAAAAAAGTGGGGACTTCTCAGTCACACCCCTTTATTTGCTGCACCAGCTTCGCAGCAATTCACGTGCTGATCATGTGCGTTCATCTACGTATATCCCAATCAAATTAGTCTAAATGCATGAACCGAGAAGACTCCAGGCGTCGGAACTTTCAAGGCCAGCGACCCGGCGAAGTTACAACGACGATTAGAGTTGGAAACGACAATGAAATTTAAACTCGAATAGTCGAATTCCAAAAACGCAGAAACCATGTAATATTGAGCGACAAAAATTTAGGAAACGACAACAAAATTGAAAAAAAAAATCAACAGCAAGCATAAAACGGAAAAAAAAAATGGAAAAACGACGAATAAATCTTACAAGCACCATAAAATATCAAACAAAAAGACGACAACAAGAAATCGTAAAACGGGATAAGATTTCGGAATGAGGATTGATGACAACTTGCTACTACTCAAAAAGCAAAAATAAAAACAAACGGCACAAACCATTGTATTTTCGTACGTCCGAATGGCACGGAACCGTACAACTTAAAAGAAACGACCCCTAAAAAAAAAAGAAAGAAAGAGACGACAAACTAGAAAGGAAAACAAACTTAACAGTTAAAAGATAAGAACTCCAAGAAAACAAAAGAAAAAAAAAAAGAGGACAAATTTAACAAAAATGCTGTCCGACATTCCGGAGTCGAGATTCCTGGACTTCATAATGGGGGTGAAACAAACACCGCTCAAATTGTAAATATCACTAAATAAAGTTGGCTACCTCTGAAAACGAAAGCAACCACAAAATAGAAAAGAAAAAAAAAAGACAAGAAATATACAAACGACATAAAAAATAGAGAAAGACAAAACTACATAAAAACAAGAAAACTGTAAAAACAAAACTGCAAAACGACAAACACGTTGAAAGGTATTGACATAAGTTTAAAGTGAGAGACCCGAGTAGACGGAATAGTCAAGAAGTAAAAACGACAACAACTGGAGCAAAAACTGAGAACGACAAAAAAGAAGAAACGACAATAAAACTAGAATAACGATAAACGACAGCAAAAAAGGAAACCATAACTCAAAAAGCGATAACAAATGTAAAAGACTAGGACAGTGGAAGAGGACAATAACTGAAAAACAGACAACAACCGAAAGCAGATAAGCAGTAAAAATAAGACGAAAAAGCACAAGGGACATGTAAGAAACGACAACAAAAGTAAAACATCCTGCAGGTTAAAACGACAAAAAAGTAAAGGCGCCACGACAGAGCTGAAACAACAATGAGAAAACGACAACAAAATAAGAACCATACAACAGAAAACGACACTAAATGTACAACCATTAATAAACAACAGCAAAAGCGAAAAAAGACAGCGAATAGAAAACAACAAAAAGAAGCCAGGAGAGCTGGAAAACGACGAAATTATTAAACGACATAAAACGTAATACGGCGAGAAATTTCAAAATGAATCTTCCCTTGAAAGAAACAAAAAAAAATGTAGATTATACTGTGGCAATTATTAATGAAATTTTCATTTCACTAGCAAAAAAAAAAAGACTTTTGCAATGGAATATCATTAATTAACCAAATGCATTCTGTTAATGTCATCAGACCAAAAACAAAAACAATAAAGTGATATGACAATTTAAAGAAACAAAAATGAAAATGAATATTGCACTCAGGCAATAATTAACGATTTTTGCACTTTTACTACTATATAATAATAATAACTATATTAATCAGTCAAATAACTATATTAATCAAAATATTAATTAAAAATTATGGGTAAAAATCAAAGCTCATATTAATAAAAGAGTTAAAATATTTTTCTATGCTCTACTTACTTCTTTTTTTTATTTTTTTCATTATTTTATTTTTTTACATTTTAATTTTCTTGTGTATTTTTTCAAAATATATTATTGCTCAATTTACTTTTATGAGAGTAACTTTTTTTTACATGTGTTCTCATTTATTTTTAATTAATTAAAATAATTTTTATTCAAATATACCCCTATTTAATTCTTTTTTATCAATTATTATCTTTATACATATTTTTTTAAAATAAAATATAAATAGACTTTAAATAATTGTATAAATAAATTTCTCCTTAGGCTCTTAAACTAGTATGAATATATTAATAGGAATGGTCTTTAGTTCGCAAGCAACTATTTACCTGACTTATCCGGTAAGTGATTTTCAACCGTTCGATGGAAATGGACGGGTGGGACTCATCACATCCTTGCAGAAGCATTCACAGGTGCTAGCTTCCATACACTGCAAGTGGCAGCTTTTATTGCCCATGTATTGAATGAAGAGAAAAGGGAGAAGGAAGAGTGAGGTTGGTGGCCACGTGTATATGTGAGTGACAATGGATGATGTGAGAGACAAGGGAGATGGCTCAGGGAAAAAATATATTAAAAAAAATGTGAAACCCAATTAAAAAAAAAGCTCTTTTTTTGAACAAAACAAAAAGAGGTTTGATTAGCAAAAAAAAAAAAAAAGGGTGTGAGGCTTAATCGTTTATGGAGGGGAAAGAGCTTAGTAAAAATAGCAGCTTTTACAGTTTTACAGTAGGCGAAAAATGTATGGATCGTGTATGTAAAATTTTATTATTTTTTGACGTTATTTTTATTTTATTTTTTAAAGATGAAAAATAAAAAAAATCATAAAAAATAGAATATTTATCAAAAAATGTGCCACTTATTGCATTAATTGTTAAAAATCATATATTAATTTTAGAATGTAAAAAATAAATAAAACTGTACATTTTTTTACCCATCCCGACCCTTTAGCTAGCCCCTGGGTGCCCCACTACGCGAGCCGGCGGCTTTTTGACAGGTTTTACTTTTTTGTCAATTTTTGAGGTAATTTTTTTCTGGCATGCCTAGAAAAATATAAGGATTGTGTCTGTAAAATTTCATTATTTTTTTAAGTCGTTTTTATTTTATTTTATTTTTTAAAGACGAAAAATAAAGAAAATCATAAAAAATAGAATATTCATAAAAAAAATAGTGCCGCTTGTTGCATTAATTTCTAAAAATCATATATTAATTTTAGAATGTAAAACATAAATAAAAATGTAAATTTTGGTATTTTATATTATATCGAAATATGCTCTTAAAATTTTATATTTTTAATAATATTAAAACAGTATTTTAATCTTTTTAAAAATATCTTTTTAATACCTTAAAACTAATTTTTGGGACATGTAATGTCCAAATTACTTTTCTTATTAGTTAAATAAAAATCAATATCTATTATATATAATAAATGTGATGAAGCAAGCATGTGTCAACTAATTTTTATCTCTTTATGGTACCCTTAACTATTTATATTTTTTACTTATTTGTTATCTAGTATTTTCTCTTACTTAGGGCTTAAGAAAAAAAAAACGGTTTAATTTGTGTTTCCATTTATGTTATTTACCTTTTGTACTTTTTATTTATGTGTTATGTACTAGTTTTGTGTTTCTATTTATGCCTTTATCAATTTTTGTATTTTTAATCTACTTGTTATCTATTGTTTTATCTTACTTAAGTTTTAAGAAAAAACGGTTTAATTTGTGTTTCCTTCTATGTTATTCACTTTTTGTACTTTTTACTTATTTGTTATCTACTGTTTTCTCTTATTTAGAGTTTAAAAAAAGTGGTCAAATTAAATAATATTTGAATTACGTTCTAAACGTGGCTTCTGAATCTACAAAACTCACCCCATCAAAATAAGCTGTGCGGTCTAAATATTAAGAAAAATAATAGAATATGGCGATTAGTTAGAACTTATTTGTTTACATCATAAAATTATTTTTCTAATAGACAATAAATATAACAGTCAAATTCATGCAATTGCACGTGCCTACTTTTACTAGTTTCTTAAAAAAATGAAAATATTTTAAGACATTAAAATATTTAAAGGAAAATAATAAAATAAAAAGTTCATGATTTTTTGCTAAATTTATTAGATTTTGATTAAGTAAAAGAGTACTAAGGTCATTTTACATCTTAAAAATCAACTTCAGAGCACCAAGAATATATTTTTAAAAATGTTGAGGTATCATTTTAATATTATCAAGAACACAAGATATTAAAAGCATATTTCGCTATATACATTGTCGCTTACATTCATTAACATGAAATACAACAAATCAGTCAATATACATACTTTTATCTATGTGTTCACTTAATTGTTATAAAAAATACATATTTTGAGGATTAATATACATTGTCGTTTCTTATAACTTAACATATATATCTTTATATGTAAATACACACGCTTTATATATAAATATACCCAAAAATAACAAAATTGTACATCTGACGTTGCAAACAGTAATATGAATAACGATTTTTGCAATAGAATATGACGATGATATTCCATGTTGTCGTTTCGGGGGCCCACCCACCACCACAGCACCACAACACTCACGTTTCTTCTTGAAACGAAAGCGAAACGACAAGACTTGTGAGAGGAGAGCAAGAACGCGATCTGAAAAACGAAAGAAAGAAAGAGACAGAGGCGAGAATTTGTACGTTTCAGAGTTGATTAGAAACAAGTAGTATCCTAATTCAAAATCGAGTTCAATCACCCCCCTCAACATTGGAGAAATTATGGCTTCGAATCCACCGCTAAATCCTTCACTGCTTCCCGAGATCGGCCCCGATGGCCTCCCTCGCGAAGCCCCCGTCATTGCCTACACTGAGAAGGTCTCTCTCTCTCTCTCTCTCTCTCTCTCTCTCGTTTGTGTATGAGCTTGAATTTCCTGAATATGTTGGTTCTATGGCAGATAATCGAGGAAGAGCAACTTCAATTAAGGAAGTGAGTTTCTTCAAATTCCCTCCTTTGTCACATTTTCTTTCATTTTTATTCAGATCCGTTACTGTTTCTTTCTCTGAACTGATATTGGAGTAATGCATCAAATGAGTGATTGATTTAGCTCTGATGCTATTACATTAATGATTGCGCAATATATCATTTGAAATTAGAATTTCTTTTGCTTAAATTTTTGAGATCTATGGGAGAAAAAATATGAATTGGGGTACTTTGGGATGCAAGTATTAGGCTTACAAATATGAAATTACAGAATGTATGAATGTTTCCGCATTATCATAGGTTTCAAATTATTTTAAGGTTCTTATTGGTGCAAGTAAAACCTTGTCAGAGGTTGTAGGAACTAGGAAGTCAGCTAAATTTTCAATCAACTTCTTTGAGAGACAAGATTATTAGAATGGATTAATGGGTATGCTTAAATCATATAAAATGTGGGTTGCGTTCTTCGATTACGTGTTTTAAGCCTTGGAGCTAACTGTGTTCATGTTTAAAACCCCCTTTTGCATTACTTGACGATTGGTGTTCCTCAAGATGGATTTAATTGAGAGTGGAATTCTTGTTGCTTTATGTAATAGTTCTTTCTTATAACTGTACTTGATAAATTTGATTATTCACAATGTGAAAGATGATTCTTTTCAGATACATTGAAGAAAACTATTCTAGAATCCGCGATGTTGAACGCAAGCTAGCAAACCTTACAATGGAAATGAAACTCACAGCTGGGCCAAAGAAAGCAGGTTGGTGCACTATTGTGTTGTTCTCGAGTTCTCATTTATGTGTGTTTTTGGCTGACTTTTCTTCTTTTTTTTTTTTTTTTTCCCCTGTTAAGCACTTGAACATTTAAGAAAGAAAATAGAGATTCAAACAGAAAGAATACGTTTGGCCAAGCTGAAGGAAGAACAAGCACAGAAGGTGTGTCCCTCTTAATTATAATATAGCTCACATGTCTGCATGTCTCCGTTTAGTGTTTTCATATATCTACACTTTGACCTTCCTTTATGCTTCAGTTTTCAGTGCATATACGTATGTCTACCCATATACGCAACTGTTCAAGTTTATGGCCTTCGTCGTTTACCCTTTCTTCAATATATTTATTGGTGTGCAGTTGTGCTCCTTCTGTAATCTCATACGTACCATTTTTTATGTAAGTTAGGCATGGGAAGCAGCATCAAAGGCTGTGAAGGATGAGGAGGAAATGAAGCAAAAGCTATGTGAAGACTTAAACCAGCTGGTAAACACATATATTAGTTAACTGTGGTTGAGGTTGCAGCTTTAGCAAATTGGTTTTGACACTGCTTCTAATTAGGTTCACGAAAGCAGCAACACGCAGTTTTCTAGACTAGAGGAGTTAAAAAGACGATTGGAAGCTTTGAACCCAAGTAGAGCATCAACGAATTTTGTTCCTCATGTAAGTTCCCTTTCTATACCTGGTCACACATTTGTAACATAGTTAATGTCTTGGAAAACTCCACTGCTCAGCGCTAAGCATAGCGTGGATGTTATTTGTTCTAACATCAGAAGGAAAATAGGCATATACAATTTGTGATCTTTTGTCTGTTATTGGCGTGGTTAGTAATATAAGATACTATTAATTAGCATCCTTTTCTTTCTAGGATAAGGTAGCATTTCGTACAATTTTGGGGTCAGATGTTACATCTTAGTAGTTTTGGTAGTTATGCCTTTTTTATATGCAGGATACATCATGAAAATGCAGTCCATGAAAATGTCTGGTATAACTTTCATATGATACTTGATGGGTTTTCAAATTTATAATGTGACAACAGTTATTACCATATCTATGGTAATTTATGAACAAGCAAGGAGGGAAGAAGCATTGCCGGATGGAAATGGAACTTGAGGGGTGGAAAGAAAGAGTTAATTGTTTATAATGACCTTATGAGAGTGTGTTCTGTTATTCTGAAGAGAAGTTATTGAGAAAGAAAAAAGGAGCCAAATAATAAGGATCAAAATTTGAGATAAGGAAAGGAGGCAAAATGAAGTGCAAGCTTTATCCATTGAACTGTTTAATACAATTCATAGACGCTAACTTCTTTTTTTTTTTTTTTAATAACAACGATATAGACGCTGACTGTTTGTATTTGAAATTATGTCCAGGATGGGAAAGCAACCGGACCTGCTCAGACAATCTTGGCTCCAGATGCTTCCTCAGCTACAAATTCAACAGAACAAAGTGGTGGTGCCAGAAAAACCATCCCAAATGAGGGAAATGGCGGAAACGTTCCTGTGACGAATGGGCTTAACCAACAGGCTTCAGTTGAGGGAGAAGGAAGAGGGAAGAAGAAAAGTCAGTTCCACGGCCGAGGAAAAGGAATTGGGGCTGTGCCTAAAGGCAGAGGATCTCCTGCTCCTGGCTGGACAGGGGCTGGGTTCGATGTTGATGGCAGAACTTGAAAGTGCATCAATTGGGATTTAGTCCTTGAAGCCCCTGGACTGGTAAAGTAAAGCTACATTTTTTTTTTGTTTTGCTATCATTGGACGCAAGTTCAGTCCAGATATCTTCCCATTGTTTACTTGTTAATGGTAATGTTACTTTTCTTTCTGTTGTATTTTACTTAATTGACTACATCATGTTCATAGAAAAGTGGACAACAAAAGTTAAGAATAGTGATATAATAACCCCATTGTTTTTTGCTTTGAAGGTCATGCTCTTGGAGATTTATTTTTGTACAACAACAACAACAAATACAAGCATTAATCTCAAATTAATTGGGATCGGTTATATGGATTTTTCGTTTTCAGTCTGCTCTATTAAATACGAGATCCTCTTAAAGCCCTAGACCTTGAAAGTCGTGCCTAACTACGTTAGCCAAAGTAATTCTTGGTCTACTCCTCGCTCTCTTAGTACTAGGTATTTGGATGTTCTCCTAAGCACGAACAAGTGCATCTAACGATCTATGTTGTACATGTCCGTACCACCTCAGACTCCCGCATCTTATCTTCTATTGGTGCTACACCTACTTTACTACGAATAACTTCATTCCGTATGCGATCCATCCTCGTATGGTCATTCATCCATCTTAACATACGCATCTCCGCCACATTGATCTTGTATATTTATTGTCTCTTGATGGCCCAACATTCACTACCATATAACATAACTGGGCGAATTGATGTCATATAGAATTTTCCTTTCAACATAATAGGCATTTTATCATCACATAAAACTCCGGTGACATTCTTCCACTTAACTCACCCCGCCTTAATCCTATGTCTAATATCCTCATCTATATCCCCTTTACACTGCACTATGGACCCAAGGTACCTAAATTTCTTAGAAGCCTTAATCATCACACCATCCAAAGAAATTTCATTACTCTGATCTCTCAAATTACTAAACCTACAATGCATGTACTCAGTCTTCGTTCTACTGAATTTAAATCCATTCGTCTCAAGGGTCTGTCTCCATAGTTCTAACTTACGGTTAATTTTCTCCCGATATTCATCAACTAAAACTATATCGTCTGCAAAAAGCATACACTAAGAAATCTCATCTTGAATTTTTCTTGTCAGTTCGTCCATCACGATAGTGAAAAGATAAGGACTAAGCGGAATCTTGATGAAGGTCAATCCGAATGGGAAACTCTTCCGTGTAGCCTCAAGTACTTCTCACACTTGTGAGTCATGACAGCTCTATCGTACATATCTTTTATTACATTGATATACCTCATGCACTACATCATGTTCATAGAAAAGTGGACAACAAAAGTTAAGAATAGTGATATAATAACCCCATTGTTTTTTGCTTTGAAGGTCATGCTCGTGGAGATTTATTTTTGTACAACAACAACAACAAATACAAGCATTAATCTCAAATTAATTGGGATCGGCTATATGGATTTTTCGTTTTCAGTCTGCTCTATTAAACACGAGATCCTCTTAAAGCCCTAGACCTTGAAAGTCGTGCCTAACTACGTTAGCCAAAGTAATTCTTGGTCTACTCCTCGCTCTCTTAGTACTAGGTATTTGGATGTTCTCCTAAGCACGAACAAGTGCATCTAACGATCTATGTTGTACATGTTCGTACCACCTTAGACTCCCGCATCTTATCTTCTATTGGTGCTACACTTTACTACGAATAACTTCATTCCGTATGCGATCCATCCTCGTATGGTCATTCATCAATCTTAACATACGCATCTCCGCCACATTGATCTTGTATATTTATTGTCTCTTGATGGCCCAACATTCACTACCATATAACATAACTGGGCGAATTGATGTCATATAGAATTTTCCTTTCAACATAATAAGCATTTTATCATCACATAAAACTCCGGTGACATTCTTCCACTTAACTCACCCCGCCTTAATCCTATGTCTAATATTCTCATCTATATTCCCTTTACACTGTACTATGGACCCAAGGTACTTAAATTTCTTAGAAGCCTTAATCACCACACCATCCAAAGAAATTTCATTACTCTGATCTCTCAAATTACTAAACCTACAATGCATGTACTCAGTCTTCGTTCTACTGAATTTAAATCCATTCGTCTCAAGGGTCTGTCTCCATAGTTCTAACTTACGGTTAATTTTCTCCCGATATTCATCAACTAAAACTATATCGTCTGCAAAAAGCATACACTAAGAAATCTCATCTTGAATTTCTCTTGTCAGTTCGTCCATCACGATAGTGAAAAGATAAGGACTAAGCGGAATCTTGATGAAGGTCAATCCGAATGGGAAACTCTTCCGTGTAGCCTCAAGTACTTCTCACACTTGTGAGTCATGACAGCTTTATCGTACATATCTTTTATTACATTGATATACCTCATGCACTCATCTCTTCTCTAGTACCCACCATAACACTTCTCTCAGTACCCTGTCATATACATTTTCTAAATCTATGAAGACCATATGCAAATCTTTCTTAGCTATTCTATACCTTTCAATCAGCATCCTAAGAAGAAAAATAGCTTCCATGGTTGATCTACCGGGCATGAACCCAAATTGGTTACCTGAGATGGTAGTTGTAGCCCTTAATCTCTTTTCAATAACTCTCTCCCAAAGTTTCATAGTGTGACTTATCAGCTTTATGCCCTTATAGTTGTTACAATTTAGCGCATCGCCTTTATTCTTGAAGATGAGAATGAGAATACTTTTTCTCCAAGCATCAGGCATATGCTTTTTTTTAGTATCTCGTTAAAAAGCTTAGTGAGCTACTTAATTCCAACCTCTCCTACACCTTCCAAACCTCTATTGGGATATCATCTGGCCCACGTGCCTTCCCTATTTTCTTATCTTGTAATGCAGTTTTAATTTCTGAAACTCTGATGCCTCTTGTATACATCACATTTAGTTTGCCTTGGTACCTAAGATCGCCAAATCCAATTGTATGATTTTTATTATAAAAGTTTCTCAAAGTAACTCTTCCACCTCTCCCCAATATCTTCATCTTTCGTCAAAACTTTATCCGTATCATCCTTAACACATCTCACATGATTTAGGTCCCGACATTTCATTTCTCTTATCCGAGCTAGTTTATAGATATCCTTCTCTAGTTCCAAGTTTCCCATACACCTCATCCAAATAAGTAGCACGGGCCTTATTAACTACTCTCTTATCTTCCATATTCGCTTCTTTGTACTTAATAAAAGTCTCATCATCCTTAGTTCCTTACACTTTGGTAGCTTTCTATATAAATTCCTCTTGGTCCTAGTAGCATTTTGAACTTACTCACTCCACAACCAGGTTTCCTTTCTTGGAGGGCCTTTACCTCTAGATACTCCTAGTACTTCCTTTGCCACTCTTTGAATGCAACTCGCAATGGTGTCCCACATAGTATTTGCATCACCTTCGCATGACCAAGCAGGCTCCTTTAACAACTTCTCCTTAAAAGTCAATTTCTTTATTCACTTTAAATGCCACCAACGAGTTCGTAGGAGGTGATTTATCTTAGCCCTTCTATGGTAAAGCCTAATGTTCACATCTAGGGTTACTAATCTATGTTGGGTAGTTAACGTTTATCCAGGAATTACTTTACAATCCTTACAGAGAGAACAATCTCTGTACCTTATGAGAAAAAAATCTATTTGGCTCGAGTTCTTCCGATTATTAAAAGTGATTAAATGTGAATCTCTTTTCTTAAAGAATGTGTTGGTTATAACAAAGTCGTGTCTTAATGTAAATTTCAAAATAGATTTCCTTTCTTCGTTCTGAGCCCCAAAACCAAAACCACCATGAATCCTCTCAAAGTTTTCTCTATCCTTACCAACATGTCAAATTCAAATCTCATCCAATAAAAATGCTACCCTCATTACTTATACTACGCATTAAGTCATTCATATCTTCCCAGAATTTGGTTTTAGTTTCCTCATCCAATCTTACTTGTGAAGCATAAGTACTAATTACATAAATGAATTTCTCCCTTAACACTAATTTGATCATAATAATTATATCACATAATCGCTTAATCTCAACCACTTCATCCTTCAAAGTTTTGTCCATTAGAATGCTAACTCTATTGCGATTCCTTTCCCAACCTGTGTACCATAACTTATGTCCTAGGTTTCCAATATCTTTTGCCTTCTCTCCCGTCCATTTGGTTTCTTGTAGACATAAGATGTTAATTCTTCTTCTCAGCATAACATCTATTAACTTCATAGATTTACTGGTTAAAGAACCTACATTTCAACTGCCTAGACTAATTTTCTTACCATGGGCTATCTTTGCCCCCTGCACACGTCCATGAATGTGCAAAGACCCCCCTTGCATATTTTTCACCATATCTAGGGCCCGACATGGCGCATGGGCTAGCTTCTCCCTCCGCACATGTTCATGAATGTGCGAGGACCTCCCTTGCCTATTTAACACTATACCCGGGGCCCGGTATAGCGTGTCACATGTAGGAAACGGCCTAACAGAGTCTGTAAATGAGAAATTCATGTAGAGTGACATATTTTTACGCTGACTGTCAACCTACCGCAACCTTCCTCATTTACTCGGGCTTAGGACCGGCTATACGAATCACCGTATAGGCAGAGTTGATTTTTGTAACGTCCCAAAAAATCAAGAACTATGCTTTCTGGTTTCCCTCGTCATTATTGAAGTCTCTTATCTGAATTCATGGAAAAGTTGATATCAAAAGTATATTGTCGCAAGTCTTGCTTCCAACTGTACACAACCTCAATCGGAAAAAAGTATCAAGGATTGATTAAATTTTCATGTTGGTTATGTTGCAAAATGAAAAAATAATCTTACTCTTACCACCGCACTCGGTGGCCTAACGGTAAAGGACAACCGTGGTAAAGTGGCCGTTAAAACAAATGTGAAGACTTATTCCTTGAATTTAGTATTCAATTAACTCCTGACCTCTAGGGTTAGGGTCCACCTTTAAGACTTTTAGTGAACATTTTAAATTAGCGCATGAGACTGAGATAACACCTTGGATAACATATAAGGAGCATGTTAACTAGGGGTGGCAATTCGTGTTAGCAGGTCGTGTTCGTGTCGTGTTGAACCCCTCAGTTGACACGAATAGGTCTGACACGAACACGACCCGTTTATTAATCATGTCAAAATTCTAAACCCAAACACGACCTATTTATTAGCGGGTTGACACGACACGACACGATTACCCCGTTTATTAAACAGGTCGTAAACGTGTCGTGTCA